AAAATCACCATTTCTGAGGGGGGGGGCCTTAATTGTATATCGTCGCTTTGATAATATGAATGAAAATAATCTAACATTTCTTGTTTTGATGCTGTATCACCGGTTTGCATATTTATTAATATATCACGTAATAATTTATACCATAAATAATTCACAGATTCATATTCTAAATCACGTACGTATTGCTTTATTTTGTTGATTAAATATTTTAAAAATAGTCGATCGTTTGGATATTAAACGTATTTGTTTACGTATTGCATGAAATAATTATTCATATTCTATATAAACACTACTAATTTTGAATATTCTTTCTGATTTTGATACACTTGTTTATTTATACAAATGATATAAAACGAATCGGGTTTTTCGTTATCATGAAATAATCGTAAAATTTCTTCTGAATATTGATCGGATATAATAAGAAAATTATTTTAATCAGCAAAATTAGTCATAGAATCAGTTAGTTCGGCTATATTAAAACTTTGAAGACAATCATCATGTAATTGTTCAAATGGATTTTTTTATATTTTAATCAATATTACAATCATTTATTAAACTATATTAAGCTTATATCGTCATTTTTATGTACGGACAAAACATTTAATGTTAAGTTAATACCAGATTGCTTTAATGAGCGTTGATTCGACAGTTTTCCTCAAGAATGATTCACTTGAAGAAAGGATATTATTACTCTAACTGTTTTCGTCTACTTTTAACTATGAGTTAGAAAACTATGTGGATGTTTTCTATAATCCTTATTGCGATTAATTCACTTATGTCCTTATGAACGTAACAGAAAAAGGAAGAAATTTCTGCCATTCATAATTGTGGATTCTTCAAAAAAGAAAAAAGAAAACTAAAGAAAAATATTATAACATACAATACTTTTTTATTTTGTTGTGTGCTACGAAGAAAAAATGTTTTATTTCATTTCTTTCGAATACAGTGTTTTGTTATCACTATTTTTTAGATATTCTTCACACTGTATCCAAAACAGAGATCAGCACGAGCCAGGCTAGAAATGTTTATAGAGTGATCGCATTTTTTAATCATGCGTGTGTTTGTAATTTAGGTATGCATTGAAAAATGTCGAAGGAATGGATAATGATGAACTTGATCAGAAAGGTAAACTAAAAAGTTGCGGTTTTCGCTGTTCAAAAGAAAATGTTGGGGCTACAAGAAAAACTAAAAAGTTTTGTCCCAAAATTACCTGCAGGTGGTGTACCTTGCGAAGATATTTTGCGAAAGATGTCACACCACTGAAAAAGTTTCGAATTTTAACTTTTGAGACGACAGACAGGTAGCCCGGACTGAGATATTCGTTTCTAGAGCAGTCCCAGGTCGTTAGCTTACAAGGTTCCGGAGCTAGAAAGGTTCTCCGGAGACCACGCTAATTCGGTCTGGACACGTCGGAAGATCTCGGA